ACTGCCCTTCGCGCGAAGAATTTTATGAGTTTCCTTTTAACTTTACTACATATTTTATCGAATTATGGCAAAACGAGTAGTAAAGTTTCAAAAAGCTCACAAAATTCTTGGAAGAGCCACGTTGTCCCACGATTTTCAGGTGAATTTTGAAAGAAGTTCTGTGGCACGGTGACACTGGCCTTCGCGCGACAATTTGAAAACTTGTCGGATCCACGACGAGAGACGGTTCAGTCGCGCGCGGCCAATGGCGCTCGTCGTGCGAGGGAACGGGCGCGCCTCATTGGCCCGCGCCCCGCTTCGCGCCGTCTGCACTTTCCGGCGCACACGGGGGGGCGAAGTTGACGTGTGGCGCTGGAGGGAGAAAGAGGGGCGGGTGTAGCTGCGAGAGGCCCCCAGATCTTCACCGGGCCGCGTGTTGATGTCGTTCGGTGCGTCCGGGAGAACGGTGATTTGAAAAAGCGCTATATTTACACGGCGGTTCGCAGAACGGAGCCCCTCTCCCGGGGGAAAAAAAAACTCGTGCTCTCACAACAGTGGCCTAACACTCTGCGGCGAGCAAGAACCGTTACGGTATTTATTACGTGTCTGCACAATTTATATTTGATACTCCGACGAAACGGCCGCGTTACCACCGACTCCGATATCGCGGGACCGTCGCAGCGTCGAACTGCGTGTTCTCGCGTATATCACAAGGCTCGACAATATAACACGTTTGCCCGCGCGTGTTATACGTGAGACTGTGTGTGTGTGTTTGTGTGCGCGCGCCCGGAAGAAATTTACGTTGGGATAAATCCTCTCGCATCGAGACAATAGACACGGTATATTAGCTGTAGCGAACCCTCTCCTAGCGCGCGAAAGTATTTCGCTTATTTCGCTTTTGCCGTCTGTAAACAGAGACCGAGCCCGAGCGAGTTGATGTTTTCAAATCGACACAACGTCGAGGGCCGGTTCTCGCTCGCGAAGGAGAACCTCGGGTTAATAACGTGCACGTTAATGTGTTCTAGACTGGAAAAATGGCTGTACCGTCAGAGACCGTCATGAACACGAATCTCGACGACCCCGTGACGAAGGCGGTGGTCGATAATATAATGGGCAAATTGCCGACGAAGAAGCCTCTCGTCCGATGCGAGGACTGCGACCTTTCCTTCACGAGCCAGGCGGTGTTGGATACGCACTTACAAGGTGCACGGCATACTAAACAGGTAAGCGGCGACGTGTGTGAAGCGCCGGGCGTGGAACATTAATCTGATATGTTGCGTTACAGGTAAGGTCTAGGACTATAATGGCGACTCTCGAGGAAACAAAGGTCTCATTTACCAAGGATGATGAGACAAACGGGCTCAAATGCAATGTATGTAACGTGTGCCTGAACTCTATTCAGCAGCTGCAGACGCATCTCAATGGTAACGAACGTATATATTAACGTATTACTTGCGATATATCGTACAATTGACCATGAATGTAAGGCGCTCGTAAGAATTGTGGCGATGTGAAAAAATGACATGGAACGTATGTTTGCAGGAAGCCGCCATAAAAAGAAATTAATGAGAGGTAATAATAAAACCTATATGGTAAGAAAAACACTGCCATACGGTCTTAAGACTAATCGCTTCATGTACTTGGATAAAATAGAGAAAAATACAGTTGTACTAGTTTATAGTTTAGTATTGTTCGCATTCGCATGCTTGACGCTACTGCTCACTTTCGCTTTTCACTTCTTTCTATGATTTAACTATGTAGAATTAACTTGCTTGCCATTCGCATAACTTTTATTGTTGTAGAATTTCAGTGCTTAGTAAGCGCTTAGTGATAATTGAAAATTTGTTGTTATTCTCTGCGTTATTTATTATTATTTATTTAATATTTAATTATTATTGAAAGAAATTTAGCGATATATTTTTGTTTGCTTATATTAACATGTTATCGTGAAAAGCAGTTTGGTCACGACTTGTTTGCATATGTTACATTTAATAAACTAAGTTTGTTTGACTGTACCTCTTAATTCCTTCTCATGTACAAATTTTACATATGTATTACTTTTTATTTGCTATTGCTGTGTTATAGAAATATTTTTGTTATTTTTTAATGACTGCTTTATATATGAAAAATATTTCATGAAAAATAAAGAACTAATAATGTGAATTATTAAATTTCTGTACATTGGCGTTGTACATATACATATATGTGTTTGTGTGTCTATTCTAAATGTATAATTTAATTTTCTTTTTTTTTAATCAAAATTATCAGCGACTGTTCCCATGATATAAAGCACATTGCCAAAATTTCGATGAATTTCTAAATGACTGTTATGGGCATATATCGAAATATAGAAATTATGTAAAAGTATTTGATGAACACGTCATATAGGTATTAACGTTCGATCCCTCGTATTGCTATAAAAAGTTTGTAAATTAATGGATTACTTTCGCATGAAGATACGCTTTCTTTTCACATATTACAGAAATACTCATAGTAATTGTATTCTTAATATTATACGCTCTCATTAATGACCAATCTTTTTATAGCATGAATGTAGTGTTCAAGCTGATTTATTATCACAAATTACCGTTTCTGCGGCTGTGATATATAGATAGTGTTGATCGCACATTGATGCTTAGGTAAATGGGATGGCAAAGAGGTTGTCACCCAAGGTCCTTCATTGAAATCGACTGGTAGCGCGCAACAATCTCTTCCCGTAAAAAGAAGGGGTTTACTTACCTGCGATATATGTAACAAGTTCTTCAACTCTCCGTCTCAGTATAATGTGGTATAATAATTTTATACATATTTACGCACATTTAATTTTATCTCGATACAATATTTCACAATTGTTTTACTTTTCTCTTTGTTGTGACAGTATCTTTATGAATGCTTCTATTTTATGTCATTTACGTTATATAGAAATACCGAGAACACGTACCGCGATGTACATGATACAATTTAACGGCGCCCGTTTTTATATATTTGCAGCATATGAATTCGGACAAACATGCTGACAAAGTGAAGAGATTTAAGGATCCGAAGAAAGGATTCTTGCCATATCCGCGTCGGAAAAAAGCAAATCGAAATATCAAGCCCAAGGATGAGATACCATCCTTGTCAAACAGCTTTGTATCGGGCAGTTTTACGTATCACCAATAAGTTACGTAATTTGCACGTTTACTTTGAGTTATATATTACGCGATATCTTATTAACTAATTAAATAAATCGTGATCGTTCATGACAATTGTAAATATACATATTTCCGTGATTTTTTCCCGAAAGAATTGAAGTGTTTTTTTTTCTTTTGTTCAGAAGGAAAGACACAGGAATTTCTTTTTAAATGGCAATACATGAAAACAACCGAGGCTGATTAATCGTTTAATGTTAAGATTGAGTAATTGAAGAATTTTTTTAAACCATCATATTCTTCGAAATGACACGAGATAAGAGGCACAAAACAATATATAGCATATACAATATTATGTATATTTACATTTTACTCTGGTTGACAAAAATTATACATTGAATTTAATGAGCTATAAAATTTAAGTTAGCTGTATTCACGAGTTCTATTCTAAGTCACTTCGCGAATAGAGTGTAAATCACTTTGCGAGGATCCATCACGTTCAGACTAGAAAAAAAATGCAAGATGTTATATTTCAAGCATTTTTCAATATGACGATATTCAGTATATCTAATATTATTTTCTAGCATTACTTGAATTGTGTATGTTTTCAATAAACGGCGTAATTCTGCATTTTGCGTACGTAAAGATTCCACTTCAACATTCAAACGATGTCGTTCTTTTAATATTTCGTGATACTTTTTGAGTCCAATTAGTAAACCATCCCAAAGCCGTTCCTTCTTTGCGGGGAAAATTTCACGGTATTGCTTCCAAAAGTCTGTTACATCCTGTACCGTCAGATTCCGGGATACAACAGTCTTTTTCTCCGTTAATTTTTCCTGAAACGTTTCCGGCATCTCTTTCCATTTAACAAAATGATATCTTTCTATGAATTCTCGTAATGCTCTAGTGACAAACGTAGCTTCAATTTCAAGCAAATGTCCCTTGTCACACAATAAGCGTCGTTGCATTTGATCGTCGTCTGTACGAAATGAATAATTAGTCGATATTAATTTTATCATCTCATTAATATAAATTTTTCTCCGCTCTTAATTTCATCCGTTCATTAAATTCGAAAGTAAAAGTACGCGTACCTTTAACGATATCACTAATAGACGCATGAGAAGTCGAGGTGCATTCCGCGATAGGAAGTAACGTTTCCGTTGAAGAACTTCGAGAAGAAACGCCCATAATGCTCACGTCATCGCTAGGAGTAGGCGATTTCTCATCACAGATTGCCTCTTTAACGGCGGCAATTAATTTGACTTCGTCTTCCGTAAACTCCTCAGCAACTCCACAGACACCTGCTTCCTCAACGCTGATATGTCAAATAATATTGTTTATAAGATTATTGAATATGGTGTTGAACTGTGACTATCTACTTACTCCGTTTTCAGAGAAGGAGATTCAGTAAATTCTGTATCATCGGTAGATCTGCTCATGTCCTTGCTACACGTAGGACAATATGCATACGGCAGGAAGAAATTCAAGAGAAAGCCAAGCTCCCTCTCGGATTTAATGCTTAACGCCTAATCATGTAAGACAATATTACAATGAAGTAAGATGAGATGTCTCGTAAGCACATTTACCTGAAACACATTATCCAATCGTATGACCAACTGATCGTTCGCAGTGTAAGGTAAGAGCAACTCGAGCAGCCTATCCTCGAGCAGATAATCGCAACGATCGGCAATGTGCTTTATAATATGGTTCAGCAGTCGCCTTTCTAAATTGATTTCCTCGATGGTGCTCGCCGGTTTGTAAGATTCACATATCGTCCTTTTCTCGTTGATCAATCTATTCTCTTGAAGGGCGCAAGCATGCGTATTAGGAAAATTTGATCGATTAGAACAACGTTTCTCAAACTTTTTAGCCCCACAACGTAAAGTTAATATTTTGCGAACCCCCTGCAAGAACCCAATAGGGTAGAGGGGAACTATTTCACGCTTAATGAAACATTCGTATGAGAAATTATAAAAGTATTTTGCGACCTTCCAGTTTTTGAGAAACGCTGGACTAGGAGATGTTCATTTCGATCGTTACCTTCGTCTATAGTATCCATGACACTACGATAAGACGGCAAATCTTTCTTTTCCAGCAAAGTTTCTTCGGATGGACTCCACTCCATGCCCAATGCTTGTTCATATATGACTTTGTCAGCATTCAAGATCTGAAAGGCGCGTTATCCTTTTAACTTCAATTTTTTGAATACGATTGTAAACCTACCTCGTGCGTACCTTATCGAGCAACTCATTCGCATTTCTCGCATTCATATCCCAAATTCGCATATACTTCTTATCGTTAATTCTCGTGAAGTGGTTCGACTTTTCTACCAGATCCAAAATATTCTTGTGCGCTTTCACAACCTGATCGGTGAGCCTCTGTATCTCGAGCCTCGTGTTTCCTTCCAATTCGGTATAATGTTTTTTCAGACCGTTGATAACATCTTGAAGTCTGAAAAGGACGCCAGTTTACCGGTTAATCGCAATTAATTCATGCCGCGTTCGATCGTACGGAATGATTCGATTTGCGTTCAATACCGACTTGTTAATTCTCCTCTTTTGCTGATTTTTCACTATAGCATTTTCATCTTCTCGACGCTTGAGCACGGCGTAACTGTAGTCCAGTTTCTCGATGTTCATGAAGCACAGCGCCTTCGTGCTCTGCACCTCCTGCTGGAGCTTCTGAATCTCAAGCTCGAAGCTGATTTTCTGCGCCCGAAACTCTTCCTGGTGTTCGACCATGACTCTCTTCATCTCTTCCTCGTACTCGCGCATTATTTCCTTCCGCTTGTCCAATCCCGCGTGGCTCTCCTCCCGCAGCTTTTTGTGCAGCGCTTCCCACTTCTCCGAGAGACTTTCCAGCAACATTTTGCGCTCCGACTCCATCACATCGTTGATAAGCGACAACTCGCGACGATAGGCTTTGCTCATGATGTTCATCTAAGTAAAATGTACGAGCTCTTAATGCGCCACGTCATGTTAATGTTTTTATCAAAAGCGTACGTATATCTAACTTGATTGTCCATCCTGCTGATCAACTGATCTACATCCTCGTCCTGACTTTTCTGGTCGTTGACGAATTTAAGATCGGCGTTCTCCAACTCTTGCCGCAGCTGCGCGATGACGGCGTCTTTCCGTTCCATGATTTCCAGACACTTGGCGCTCTGGGCTTCCATCTCTGCGTGTATGTCCAACGGATCCTTGGACGCGAGTATGTTTGACCACTTGTCGTTGATCACCCGGTACCTTTTCATGCACTCCTCGTCGTCTTCCTCGAGTTTCCTCAGCAACGCTCTCCTGATCTCGCGCGCCTCCCGCCGTCGCTGCAGCTCCCTAGCGTCGTTCGCCACCTTCACGGAGGTCACCTACACGCAAGTTCATCCAGTATGATCTCCTTTTATTAATATTAATGATACGTCGCCAAGATATACAACGAGCAGCCCACAGGTGACAGTCCAAACGATCATCTATGCGAGATAAACGTTCGTTATACCAACCACTTCGTCGCCTTCCACCGACAAGTTTTCCAACAGTTCAGAACTGGCAAGTATTTGCCTCTCGGTGAGCGTCTTCTCGACCACCTCTTCATCCTCGGCGTCTGTCTTTCTGGAAAAGAGACGGCCGCAATCATGGGGGGAAAAAACGCACCGGTTCTTTAAAGGATCGCCACAAACGGTAAAAATCGCGAAAGTGTGAATAGACGTTTCTGAAGTTATACGAATCGTGCTCTACACCTTTTGTTTCATTTATTTTCAACATGACACTCTAGTTCTTCAACGTAGTTTCCATTTAACTGAACTTATCCCACCGCAGGAGCATCTTTTTATTATTTTTTCTGTTGAGAGGTGGCTTAGCGCAAGGCACGTTTCCCAGAACTTTGGAAACGTCCCTCGTGGTTGCACGATATCGTTCATTCGCGCATATCGCGGATAGATCGTTTTTCAAGGAAGTTTTAAGGAATGGCTCGGGGCAGCACGTCGACGTTCGCTCATTTTTCCAGGTCAATTGTGTGTCTTACAACATAGTGAAAATGTTAAGAGCGAGTGGCTTTGTCTCCTTCCAACTTGGGCCCGGTTTCACCAACGGCACTTAACTTTGAGCTCGGCTTAATTCGTTGTTTGTCTCTTTCCAACTGTTACTCTAGAACGAGACAAACATGAATTAGACCAAGACTAAAGTTAAGCAACGTTTGGCGAAACCGGGCCTTAGAATTATTGTTTATATTGCAGGACGCACAATCGACCGCCAGATCGTATTTCCAGTCAGCTGAGCGCCAGACGGGGAAGCTTCTTACTTAGTTTGCGCTTCCAAGCGCCGCTGAATGCGGATGCGTCGCGCCAACTTGCGCTCGTTCGGATCCAAGGACGTGACGGACGGCTCCTCCGCGTCTTCCGCGAACTCGGGATATCTGCCATTCATCATTTTTCCCTTTGCACCGCGCGAAACGCGTTGCGAGGAGGTCGGGGGAAAAATTCAAGTGGGACTTCGGATTCGCTTGTGAACGTAAACGCGCGTCCGTAGTAGATAGCGACTATTCGCCTGCGACATAGGACATGGAGCAGCGTTTGTTTGCTCAATATTCGGTCGCCAAGTCGAAACGACGATTTCCCGTCCCGCCGCGAGGCGTACAACCAGTCAGGGGAAGGAAAGGAAAATATTTCTCTTCCCTCTTCCTCCTTTCCCTTTTTTTGCATTCTCTCGTTATTTGAAATAATATTTTCGAATCGCCATTGGCAGAGGTGCCCTTCATCGCATAGATGTGTTTTTAGATGATAATACAGTTGAGTGACATTACTCGCTGTCGGTAACTAATAGTAGCTTCCGTGGTCAATACGTTGCGCCGAGAGATGTCACTACGCGTCGAATCCGCGGGGCTCTGCTAAAGTTCTGCTTCGACTGGTTATAACCTGGACGGAGCATAGTGCCGCGGGAGTAGTCCACGAAGGGTGAGGGGAATCAAGTGTCTATTGTAACGGACATGAGGTACCAAAATGGCAACACTCGATAGTGTCACGGAATGCGATCTATTTTCACGCCTTGAAAAGAATAAAGCTTTCTCACGAGGAAAAAAATGCAAAAAGAAGTTTTATATACATATATACATATATATATGTATGTATATGAATAATCACTGTATTGATTACTAATAACGAATTAAGACATACGTATTACATCGAATTAATATACCATAACCTGTCATACATAGTCTATTAAAATGTAAAAGTATAAAATAATAATTTTATCATTTTGGTGTTAAATTTTTGTTTGCCGTCGCTTTCCCATTTTTTATGTAACAGCCGTTAATGTACATTAATTCGGAATAATGCGAATAACTAAATTTGCTATATGTATATGTAATCCATGGGAAAACATGATATCTAAATTTCTAAGAATTTTCGCAGGGATAATTGGTCCGCACATTTATTTGACAAATCCATCGATACGATCTCAGTTCGTTGCGTTTACTTGCATTATTTAAAAAAAAAAGATTAATCAACTACAGATATAAGAATTAGGGGGTAACAAGGAAAGAGTGGATCTTGGAGAAATCAAACACGCTTTGTGATTTAACTTTAATATACAAATATATAATTGCAATAATACAAATTACAAGTCGTACGTCTCGGCTCTACTTTGACCATCTTCGGCGATAACAAATTAATTACATAATGATATATTTACACATTATATACACATTTTGACAGTGCAATAAATAAAGAAAAGATAGAGTCAGATACAATTTACCTTAAAAATAATAAGAGAAGAGCGGGAGTAAAAATAAGTTTGATGTGTGGTGGAACGTTTCCACGGAATATAACGGAAGCTCATTTTTTATTTATGTCTGGATTAAAAAGAGAAACTTTTGTTGTAACTGGGATGAGACTGTTTCAGTCATACAGTCATCCTGACTGACAATTAGTGAACCTGGAAACCCGAGCTCAAAATACCGCGGACATTCATCTACGCGTCACACACACGCGCATATTTTTAGCGATAATGCAACACATTTAAGAAAAATGTCGAAGCAAAATACAATTGAATCACAGAATACCTAATAACGAAGAGACTGAAGCTATTCATTTTACTTTTAAAAAAAACCGTCGACGTAACTGCTGAACAATCGCGACTGACACTGAGAATTGCTTCTATTGCGGAAAAGCCATTGGGAAAATCTAGCGAAGCCGAAGAGGCGAGGCTTGCGAAAAAGCGCGGCGTGCCGGGCGATTGGCTCGGTAAAGGCCGAATCTGACTAGCACAGCCCGTATCAGACCACAGGTTGAGATTGAGATTAAATTGAAATTTGACCAATCAGAGTAAAGTTTACTAATCTCAAGTTTAGTGAATTTTACTCTAATTGGTCAAATTGTAATCTAATCTCAATCTCAATCCGTAGTCTGACACTGGCTTGTTAGAGCTTATTCTGGACGCAAAACGCAAGACGCTAAGCTACATCGCAAGAAACTGACCAATGACGGTCGATCATTCTTCTCATATTTCACTGTGATTGGTCGATTCTTGCGTTCGCGGCTTAGCGTCTCGCGTCCATTGTAGAATAAGCTTTAGCGCGAAACCGAAGGGAAGCTCGTGTACCGTGTAAGATGCCCATTATTTGTCCATCGAAAGGGCGATATTAAAGTTGAACGATCAGAACGCGCCGCTGCTGCGTCCCTCTCGTTATTGTCCGGCGCGAAAGGAACGAAAGCCGACGCTAATGCACGCGATTTATCTCGTCTCGCGTGCGCTAGCACGCTCGCTCGCGTCGTAACCCCTTCGGGGCAGCGCGCGAGCGGGCGGGGGTGCGCGCCTCAATGACGAGCGAAGAAATAGCTTTATCCAGCGCGGATAAGTGGCACCATCAATCGTCTCGCAGAAGGCCCGAGATAATTGTAGCGAAACCGCGCTAGGCCGCGCGGTTCGCGCTCTCTCCCTCTCCTTTCTCCCGGCTAATCGCGCTTCTCTTCGCGGCTAGGCTGCACCCGCGATGAATTAAGACGCACGCCTACGCAGACACGGTATTAAGAGCATCGCAATCCCGAGCATGGCGTGGCACGTGTACGCGGCGACAATGCGCTCGCACGTATCGGCTGATGCCCGCGCGTGGCCCCGTTTTCCTGAGGTCTGCGCCCACGACGCTAGAACTCGGTCCAAGCTCTAGTTCCGAAAAATATGTGGCCAATCAACTTGCACCTTTTACGGAATAGCTGCAGGTTGATTGGCCACACATTCCTCGAAGCTAGAACGTGGACCAAGTTTTAGCATCCTGGACGCAGGCCTTTATGCCCCTTTCACACCTAAGGATGATCCTGCTTGTGGCTCATCCGAGTGAAGAAGTTGGCGTAAATATTTTAGTACGGTCGTCATACTAAATGGCTTTGCATGATTTCACTATGGTTTTTAACCGTTTTCTTATGTTAGAAATGGCACTCGAGTCCGCGTAAATGGTCTCGATACGGCGATTCTTACCCGTCTGTCTACTCGCTCGCGTGAGCCACGAGCAGGATCATCCTGATGCTGGAATTCGCACTGGATCCGATATCCGACGTGCGACGTCCAATATCCAATATGATTGGTTTATACTTTTAGATCCTACAAGGAACCGAAAGTAAAAACCAATCGTACTAGATATCGGACGTCGTACGCCGGATATCGGATCCAGTGTGAATCTTGCATTAGGTGTGGAAAGGGCATTAACGGGGCCTCGGATTTGGGTTCGCTCGGATTATCGATAGACGAGGCGATTCCGCGGACTCCCATTGCGCCACGCTGACGAGCAGGTTGTCGCGGCGATAACGGATTATCGCGATGAACGTTGGATCGCGCGTAACGGAACGATGGCACGCACGCTCCCAAGTATACATTTTTAGGAGGAAGTTTATGCGAACGAACACACTTTGAATAGCGAGAGATATGTGTGTGTGCGCGCGTGTGTAGGAGAGATAAAAAAAGTCGTACGCATTGTATTGTAAAAAGTGTAAGCGCGTTTATCACTGTGCGCTTATCCGTGAACTATAATAGTCCACGTCTAAAATGTAAACTATGTAAACTATGTGAAACATGTAATCTGTGTCGAGAATGAGTGACTTATAGAAAATGGCCTGTCAGACTCGTAGATTGTCTTTATATTTCATTTTTCGTGTACACGGAGAGAACTTTCTCTTAAAGTTTATCCTGAAAAACATGTAATCGCGGGACAATATACGCACATACATATAACTTATCAATTTTTAAGATTGTAAATATCTCGATTGATACTAAAGTCACGCGGATGCAGATACATGAACTGTTTTACAATATATATGACTTTTTTGCATTCTGACATCTAATTTACAAAATTTACACTGACAACATGAAGTCAATTAATAATTTTGAAACTGACGGCACAGCTCTGTTATTTAATCGACATCGCATTCCTGACGACAGATAAAACATCGACGATCGCGAAATCGAGGTGTTCGCGCGCGGATACGCGTCGCGGCCTTATCTGTAAATCGATTAAAGATAGCTCCCAAGATCGCTCGATAATTGCTCGTCCGGCGTGAGGACAGATTTTAACCGCGCTAGGCGAACTCCCGAGCGTATCGAAAATTGAACGGTACAGATATTCGAAGCGAGATCAACGTGCAAGAACTCGATACGTCATTAAACTTTGCACATAATTACGTTATCGCGTTGTCCTACATCATTCGTTAGTGAAACGCGCGTCTCTCCGGACTAGGAGGGGAAAAAAAATGCGAGGAAAACCGCGACGCTCTTGAGCGATATCCCATACGGAAGGTAGATTTCACCGCGCTAAGCAAAACGCCACGTCGGAGAGGATACGTAGCCCGGACTGTGTGTGGTAGGCCTCGTTATATTTTCGGTACGATACCACTCGTCGGGGTCGTTCGGGATAACGAAACGCCGCCGATGCCGGAATTTGGTATGCAAAGTGAGCGCGGGGGGGAGCGTAAGGGGTCATTTTCGCGCGGCCCCGTGCATCGGGATCCGCGGAATTACGGCAATTTGAATGATAATAATGACGGGGGCGATACTGGCCGAAGAAATTCACGCCGCGAATTTGTCCGACCGCAAATTGATCGAGACAAAGCGACGACCGCCGAACGATGACGTTTCGGCGCGCACGTTTTCGAACGAGGCAGCGGCCTCTTGGAGATCGTTTCCCTTCTTCAGTTTCCATGTAATCCTGGAAATGTCGCGGGGCAGCGGGATTAATTGTTGCCCGTGTCATATTTATATCATTGCGTCGATGTCCTTTACCGTCGTCGTTTACAATCGGGGCGAAACTGATTTCGTGGCTTCGCCTTCGAATTCGATCCTCGACGCGAGTCGTCTCTCGTTATCTTGTTCCGAGCAGCTATTACACTGCAGTACGACAAACTTTTCACAAGCGTGTCGATTGGCTGCAGAGAATAGACGAGATCCCGTTTAAAGTATTAGAAAAACATCAGGTTTACATTAGATCGCATGCGATTTCCATGTAAATAAATAAAAGTCCTATTAATTTGACCGATCGTGTTCCATCGATTATTTCAAACGGACTCAACAACTTTCTTTTACTCTGCTATCAAACGACACGCTTGAAAAATTTGTCGCGCGACGAATGCGCGATAGCGGCCCAAAGGCGCGAGGGCGATATTCGCGCGAGTCGTAAAGCCTGATCCACAATGTGCTCTTCGGGTCTAG